TTTGTCTGTGTTATTTTCCAAGCCTCTATATATCTGTACAGGACATGTCCCTTTCCTGTTGAAAACACTGCCATTTAACTCTTAACCATAAAATTAATTTACTGCCTTCATTGCTTGCCCATAATATGGAAGTCACGAGTGGTGCATAATACTGATTTCCCGAAACCTCAGCTGTGTGGAGAGCTTTCTATGATAGATCTCCTTCGGTTTGTAGCTTACAAGTGAAATACACATATTTCCTTTGGAAATGGTTATCTAATTTCTATTCCCCATCATGTGTTTTAGAATTACCCCCTTAACATTAAAGGAAAAGTGTCTACATTTTGTTATTTTATCTAACACACTGTTTCTTTTCCATGCCACAATATAGTTCAAGCAGTCCATGTGACAAATAAAATGAATATAGAAAGAAGGCATTGGGTTTATTGAGTGCTCTGCAAACTCTTCATTTCTTTGATATGTGACATTACAAAAAGGTTCCTTTGATGGTTCAGTAAAACAAACCACATAACAATTCGCTTCTTGATGCGGATCAACTGCTTATTGATTCTGTTAGGGCTTTCATTGGCGGCTGTGACGGAAGGGAGTAGATATTTATTAAGCTCTCAGGCACTGGATTGCCACTATTTTATCAGAAACCATCAATGATTTCTTACATTGAATATTTGAATATTACAGATATTAAGAATAACTTTTAGTGCTCTTTTAAAACGCCAAAGAATATAAAAAAAGTTTGGCAAGGAATACAATAAATGCCCACAACGAAGATCGAAGATTGTAAACCACACAATATTACTGGGCAGAACGGATAGATGAGAGGAATAAAATGTCAGGAAGTGAAACCTGGTAGAGTTAAAATGAGAATGTAAATACAAATTAACTATGCTCAAATAAAAAGTAATCTCATTTTTCAATGTCAAGCGTGGACCCCTAAACAGATGTGTAAATAGCAATTTTATGCCGAGGGCAAGCACTGAGCGCTTTATTTCATCCATCCTCTCTGCTGCCCTCCTGCCTCCAGGCCTGCCCTCTTCTGCTCTGCTCAGGCTTTCGCTCTATTTATAATCCGTGGGCTCCCTGTGTCAGGTTACCTGGCCCCCTGAGTCAGCATTGCAGTCTCAGCACAAACACGAATAAGTCCCTCTAGGCTGGTGGGTGTATTCTCAGTAATTCATTCAGTGCTGAGTCTCTCCCCACTGACTTACCTCTAAGGGACTGCATCATGCCAAATGGTATAAACTTAAAAAAAAATGATTTCACATGTTACAAAATGGCAAGTAGATAAATGGCACGCTATTTTTATAAACACTGTCTAATTCAAAAACCATCATGAAGTGGCTTCCCCAACCTCTGCGATTCCAGTTTTGAGAACTGGGAAATGCCACAAAGCCCCCCTTCAGGACCAGGATGTGGGATTCCACGATGCCACACCTTCACTGCTGGTTTACCTGTGCCCTGGGGTGCAGAAGGACATGAATAGTTCGCCTTGGTTCACAGCCTGGACCTACCAAGCCTTCTACATAAGGAGCATAAATGATCACAGCCACATACTCGATCCGGCTAGTGTCTCAGCTTTTACTAGTTCCAAATATTTTAAGCAAAATCGATTTTTACTACTTTTACATAAAGTCCTTACATTTTGCAAATTAATTTTAAAAATACGATGGAATAGAACAGAAACTACATTTTCTATATTCTGTACCTTGAGAAAAGAAGCTATTTATGGAGGTGCTACCCCTATTAGAAAATTGTTTACATCTACATTAAGGGTAACGCACACTCTATGTAAAACTTGAAAGATGAATGGATAAAGAAGATGTGGTACATGTATACAATGGAATACTGCTCAACCATGAAAAAGAACAAAATAATGCCATTTGCAGCAGCATGGATGCAACTAGAGATGATCATACTAAGTGAAATACGTCAGAAAGAGAAAGACAATACCATATGGTATCACTTATATGTGGAATCTAAACTATGGCACAAGTGAACCTGTCTACAAAACAGAAAGAGACTCACAGACGTAGAAAACAGACTTGCCATGGCCAGTGGGGACGGGGGGAGGGATGGACGGGGAGTTTGGGGTTGGTAGATGCGAACTATTACATTTAGAATATGAATAGACAACAAGGTCCTACTGTACGGCACAGGAAATTATATTCAATATCCTGTGATAAACCATAATGGAAACGAATATAAAAAAGGAATGTATATATATGTATAGCTGAGTCACTTTGCTGTACAGCAGAAATTAGCATAATGTTGTAAATCGACTACACTTCAATTTAAAAAAATAGAGAATAAAAAATAAGATTTTACCCCTTTGATATAAAGTAACTTTTATAGATAATAACAATAAAATCAGATTAGCGTGTCAGTCAAAATTCTTCTTTGCAAGCAACAGAAACTAACTCTAACAGGTAGATTTACTGGAAAGCAAAACAACTGGACGTGAGGTTAAGGACAGGTTTGGCACGTGGGCTGCACCCAAGGTGAACGCGGTGACCGGCGGTCACAGACACAGGCTAACATCTTTGGCCACTGGAGGGAGCCACTGTGGCCAGATGACACCCCCATGGCGACATCTATGTTTCTCAACCCATGACCCATGGTGGATAGACAGAGCCCATCTCACATGCATTTATCCAGCTCTCAAAGGAAGGGAGGAAGGTGAAATCTCTCTCCTTATATTACCATGGTGGTAGGCCAGAAACTTAAATACGTGGCCAGCAGCTAAAAACACAAACCACAAATGTCCACTGCAGCTACTTAAGATGTTCCCCTTGACCAAAACTTCTTTAAATTTTATGTAAAAGTTGGATGACTCCTCCATTGCTTTTAATGTCATGGTAAGCTCACTCTCAGAAACAAGACATAGGATCTTGACATCCATTCAAACTGTGGACACTGCATTTTCCCTATGACCTCTGGCAAATTACTAAATCTATTTCTTGTTTTCTTTATCTACAGTAACACCCAGACATTTTATCTTCCTTAAAGGGATCTCATTAAAATCACTGATGATGCTAATTAAAATACAGACATCCTCAAATAGGAATTCAATTTTTAGTCAACATTTAATTTTATTGCTACATGCCCAATCAGTTCAGGGCTGATTTTATAGAATTCTTATTTAGTAGCATTACTAGAAAGTCTAGAATTCAATATGCCTGTATGTGTCCATATTTCCTAGATAAATGTCATACAAGAAGCATTTATGCTGAGAGATGTGTGGCCATTCAAGGCATAGTTCCGCATAACTGTTATAGGTCCCCAACACTGACACGTGTGTCCTGCCAGGAGAATGCCCACACCAGGCATGGAAGAAAATGAGCCTGGTTTTCCATTTCCTTGAAAATATGCACTGTGAGATAACTGGAGATTGTTTGCATTTGAAAATAAGCCCTCATTGAAAACTGGGAATGGAAAATTATTCTCGGTGGTCTTTCCCATCTCTCTTTGCATCTTAGCCAAATCCATGAAAGATCAGAGGGAAAGTTCCAGAGATGCCTATTTTATGCACCTTCTTTCAAAATTAACTCTTTTCTCTATGAACCACATTGTAGTGGGAGCCCTGGGAAGGATGTATCTATCACTGTGCTCTAACGTATAGGAGCCAGCCCTATAACAAAAATCAAGCCAATGTTCTTTACAAGCAGGTTCCCCCGTGAATTATCATAGATAAAGCAGCTGTAATGCTTACAAGGTAAAGTAAATGCATCTCTAAGGAACAGAGGGGAGATTAGGACAATCTGTTATTGCAAGCAATCAGCATTTTTTTTCTATTTCAATGCCTATATATCAGCGTAAGTGATTTCAGCATATTGTCTACTGTAAGATTTATTTTTAAGATTAAATTATTGATTTTTCCCACTAGCTCATCAGTGTTATTTTAAAAATCTCAGCTGATAATATAACCTTGCCTATATAATGTCAAATGTTCAGATGAAAACAGATCTTTGGCTGGATAATTGGTTTCATGAAAGCATCTGAATACTTGACTGAGTTTTTAAACAATTTTAATGTAGATATCGGACAAAGCAAAAGTTGTGCTGTAACTTCATAAAAAATAATCTTGCTGCTAAAGCAATAATCTTTAATATATTGATAATAAAATCTTTGATACATTGTTGGTTGTGTACCACCTTCAAAGCAAAGTCATATTTTTTGAAGATACTTATTGAAGGCAGTATTTTCAAACTCAACATAAAAAGGCCACTAAACTACTGATATGAATCCTTTATTCTTTCTACAAACACTAGAGTTTATTTTAAAGTGATAATCCTCTTTATTTTGGCAAAATTTTTGAGGCCAAACACATTGTGCATACACGTGAAATTACTGAAGCACATCAAAACAGTTTTGTGAACTGCAATCTCATTTTGATTTTGCAGTGTTCTGATCATGATAGTTTATAAATGAATTTGGATTACATGGAAGTTGAGGTGGAAACTGAGAGATAACGGCCATGAAACCACAGGGACTTCGAGCATTTTATTTCCATGTTGTCCTCACTTACAGCCTTCCTATTTCAGCTGAGGTCAAATGCAGGAGATACTAATGCCTTTCAGCAGATGCAATATACCCTTCACCTGACAGTGATTTTAAAATGCCACTACATAAACTATGTCATAACAGTTCATATGAAACCATCTATTAATTTTTATTTGTTTTGAATGTTCTTCTTTTTTTGAAACCAGCAGAAAATAGAGAGCAGTCAGCTGATACAAAGGGAAAGA